CAAACTTTCCGTTCTCTCCAATGTTGTACTCGGATGAGCCTTGCGATGTGATTAATGGCGTCTCTTGCGGTTCGGTCGAAGGACCAATCACTGCTTTGGCACCAGAGTCTAAGAAAGCTTTGATTACGGCTTGTGTTGGTCCGAATGTTCCTGAGAAGAGTATAATCCTCTCTCTCCATGCTCCTACCTGTTTCAGAGAATATTCTCAAAGCATAAGATCAATGAAGTTATCGACAAGAACAGAATGATTTGCCATTACCATCCAGCGAATATCATCAGGAGTTAAGTGTGTCGAAGGGACAGTTCTACGGAACATAAACGATGCGATTTCTTGATCATCTTCCATCACCTTTAAAATAGATTAACAAGTTAAATCACAAACAGAATAAACTTTCCAAGGCTATCATACTAACACCACAAAAAACATATTCTTACTTGGGTTTGGCGTCCGATATAACGGTGGATGATATTCCCAACCTGGAAGCATTTCTTGCTATTCACCAGATCTGAGATTGAGCAGATTTTGGAAAGAATTGATGCAGCCTTTCGGCGATCGCTTTGCAGGACTGATAATATACTGACTTTGACGCTCTGGAGAAACTTATCAGCGAGATCTCCAGGTTCAGCAACCACAAATACATCATTTTGCCAACTAAATGAAACCAGAAAGATAAATGTATCAATTAACTAGAAAAACCTACTTTACACCCGAGTGTAATGTGGTGGAAATTGAAAATTTTGGACTACTAACCTCAGTATCGAACCATTAGAATCATTTTGAAGCGCGAGATGAATGATCCCCACTTGGGGCAAATTCTGTAACTTTTCATGCATCTGTCGTAATGGAAGATAGAGCTGTCTTTGTCGTGGAGGAGATGATGGAGGCGACAAAACCGTCTTTCCTGCATGACCCCCGTCCAAGCTAAGTGGCGGAACCATGTCAATCCTATTAAACTTTTGTGGGCCAAGATCAGGAGTGAAGAGAAGGGGGCTCGGAGGCAAGCTTCCGGTAATTAGAGGAGAGGTAAATGGTGTGGGGAAAGCAGTTCCTGGAGACGGTTTCAGGCCTCCGGAAGTTGCATGTAATGAAGATAACTTTATTCCATTTTTAGAACAAAATAACTCAAGTGCACGAGCATGATGCTTTACCCTCCCTGAGTCAGGACTATGCTGAGCCTCCACAAGCAAAACATTGCGTCTCCAGCCAAGAGAAGGACTGCTCTCTCCTATCGAGGAATGACAGAAAAATGATAAGTTACCACGAGAAAAGTTTGAGGTATTTCTGAAAAGCAACTCAAAATCAGAATTTTGAAATGGATACCTCTGCTGTTTGGTAGCTTTCCATTCATAAATCGTGGTTTCAAATTCTCACACCATTTCTCATCGTTGAGGAAGGGGAGTGTTAATCTCTCACATGCGTTTTTAAATACTTGCGAATTGCTTTGTATGTATTCATCAATTGCAGCTTCCAATTTCCGCCAGATCGCCGGATCAGTCTCATCCAACTCCATTCCACAGCGATCGTCAACTGCATAGACCATATATGCACAGGCTTAATTGGATTCTACGTCAGAAGACTTGTGTCTAATGATAATTGGCATGGACTAGAAAATTCAAGGTTTTCTAGGTGGTCAAGAGGATAGAGTGTTCATGCATGTTGTAAAATGCTGTGTAGTACCTGGGTTGAAACGGAAATATTGAATCTCTGGCAACAAAGGGAGCAGTGTGCTTAGAGCTTCTTCAACCCGTTCCACTGAGCACGCACTCTCAATCAGTACTTGCCCAGT